GCAATATATCGCCTTGTTTACAGTATCGAAATATATCGGGATATATCGGGATATATCGTATCGTGACCCCTCTGTTATGATATGTATCGTATCGCCAAATTCTTGCCAATACACAGCCCTAATTTTGAGTGAACAAATGACTGTGGTTACTGTTTTGAATGTTGAGAACTCGGGTAGCACAATATATCAGCACTAACATCAGTATCGGCCGATAGTAATTTTTTTGAATATTGGTATCCGTCCAATAAGTAAAACTAGGCCGATATTAAAGTGCCTGTGACATCAAATGTTTGTAATAAATATGAATGCATTTAAGTAAGTAAGTAAAGTTTTATTTATAAAGCGCCTTTCACAGAAATATATTCACAAGGTGCTGTACATTTCTTGATTGACAATTTCAAGATTGTTGATCTTGTTTGTCTCGTTTGTCTCTATGTGTCCCTGTGATGGACTTGTGACCTGTCCAGGCTGTACCCCACTCCTCACACTGTGACAGCTGGATATGAGCACCAGTGACCCCCATGACCCTGAAAGGAAGAAATGGGTATAGATTAGGATTGGGCATAATCGTATCGTGTGCAATTAATCGTCATAAAAACAGATTATTTTTTAGCGCTTGACGATTAATACGATTAATGCCACCAGGCAGATGGACTGAAGTTTTCTCCAGTCAGTCTGTTTGGTGCTCCTCTCTGCTTCAAATATGATAAACATTAAAAAAAAGTTCTGTAATTTATTTATCTATCAACACAATTTAAAATATGATATATGGCCTGAAGTCTGTAATTTTGACACTATTTGAAACAGATTTTTATGAAGAGCAAATCTTTCCCACTAAATTGGTCATGTGACCAGGACATAAGGGTGTCCCGGGACTCCAGGGGGTTAATCGTCAAATTAATCGTTATCAACTAAATACAACAAGTAATCGTGATTAATATTTTTTGCCAATATTGCCCAACCCTAGTATAGATAATGGATGGATAAACAAAGGCCAGAGAGTTCATTTTCTTAGAGTTCCCCTTTGATGTCACTTCCTGTTTAACTTTGGCTGAGCCAAGTCCAAAAGAAACTATGCCAGTTATGAGACAAAATGAGCAAAATTGTGTGTCTTATGCCAAGTTCCTTACAAATAAAAATGTTTTCTTTGACTTTTTTGTATTTGAAGAACATGCATGTCACAGTAACTTTAACCTCCGATATTGATTTCCCACCTATTAGCTTTATGTTTCTGTTTTGGGAGTCAAAATGTTTGGTCGAGTGGACATCTATAGTGATTTTGATGAGTGTCTGACCTCAAAATGCCCAAGTGTCCAACTTACATATTTAATGCACGAAACGCATTCGGTCTGAACGCAGCATAAGTGTTTTCATAAAATAAAAAGAAACAAACTTCTATAACAGTTTTCTGCCTTTTTCTTCTTCTTTTTTAATTAAATTAACAGGTGGTAATGAGATGCCCAGCGCTTTTCAGGATGCTCGAACTGAGGCAGAGACTTCACAGGAAGCAGAAAGTGGTCCGGACTCTCCCTCCAAGCAGCTTCCTGACCAGATCTCCTTCTTCAGTGGGAACCCCTCAGTGGAAATTGTTCATGGTATCATGCACCTGTACAAGACCAAGTAAGTCACATGTAATCTTAATTCTCAATGCCATGACAGGCAGGTCATTATGTCATTGGCTGTGTATATGTGTTTCTCTGTCAGCCTACTGGCAAATTATCTCACAAATTACTGGACAGATTTCATTGAAAACCTTAAAAATGCATTAAATGTTCATCTATAACTAACATGTAGTCTCCCCCTGGTTCAAAGAGGCTACCCAAACTAATTGACCTTTTTGTAGACCAACAGTACCTGTAACTTTTAGACTTTTACAAAAGAATATCTAAAATTTGATGTGGTAGTAGCTAACTGTCCTAGACTAAACTTACTCCAAGCCAACTCCAACACATTCTGTGAGATATGGAAATATCACTGGAGAAAAGCCTAATATTAGGGTGATTAACCCTCTCATTTCTTATTTCTTATTTTGTCATCCTTTTTTTTAAAACACCGTAAGCTCTCGACCGTTTGTGCAATCTGAAAAATTCCAATAGTTCCTGAAAGCCAAGAATCTGGGCTTTTCACTGATATATGGGGTTTTACAGTAATAGCATGTGACCAGTGGCAGTAAGCCCACAAAACAACCTCTTTGTTTACCCTCCTCCAAAGGCGCTTGGTGCAGAGTGTAGTGGAAAGTTACGAGCAACAGCGTGTTTTTTTTTTCCGGAGCGGAGAGGAAATAATGATGAGGAAATGATGTAGAACAATGGGCCTCATGCAAGAACCGTTCGTACGCACAGATTTGTTCTTAAGTTGTGCGTACGAGTGATTTAGGAGAATTTGTGGCATTCACC